TAGTATGGCAGTATATGTTGTCCTCGAAGTACCCGGACTTGAGGAGCTCAGCCTTGAAAAAGTCGTACCTGCACAATCCCGTCAAGTTCAGCCCACCGCACCACCACGCATACACCCAAATGGGGTGAGGACACTCACGAGGCGAGCTGGCTCGCATTCATCAGGATCGCGCGGAATACATTGGGACCCACACCGCGCCCCAACGAGGACCAACCTTCCTCGCGAATCATCTAAAACGCACACACAACCGCGATCAGCCAATCGACGCGCACCGAATGGAAAACAGGGGTAGAGGGCACCGGGACGCCTACGCACGCGGAAGAGGCCATCAAGCGCGTTCTTGTAGTTCAGGCGCTTCTCGGGGGGCTTGGCAAAGTCGCCCTGCATGCGGACCATGAGGATCTCTAGTAAGTACCGGTCGCTCGTTAGCGTTTGCGTTTTTCATTAAATGAAAACGCGACGACGGAGCGCGTTCGCGATTCTCACCCCCGGGATTCCCGACAAAGCCCGCGATGCCGCCCGCTGTGAGCGTTATAAGCGTCGCGTACCTGGCTGCACGAGGCTACTGTACTCACCCATGCTGCCCGCCAAGGCAAGCTTCCACGCCGGGCTCTTCTCGTCTGTCATCCCCGCGTCAGCCTTAGCGCGCACTCTAGACAACAACAATCGAACACGCACTCGCGCCGATGAGCTTCTTGCTCTCGTCGTATGCCCAGAACCGGCAAATCGAATATGTCATCTGCCGCAGCCAGGTCCCAGAGATCCCATCCAAGAGGCCCAGGACGCCCGCGGTGCGCACGGTCTTCCGCATCGACTCGATCATGCGCTTGTCGCCTGTCGCTTGCAGCCGGACCTTCGTCAGGTCCAGCGGGCTGCACCCGACGCACCGTAAGCCTCGTCGGTCCCACGCATCGATGGCTGGTAGCCGGGAACTCACTGTGTGATCGACGCTGCGATAGTCGCCGCAACACCTAGAAGACAGGGTAGAGGCGTCAGGAACACGAACGTTATACCGATGGGCGAGGGAGGCAGGATGCCGTCGGACGCACCTCCAAGCCAGAACGGATACGGTTTCTTCTTCTTGGGTGCGGCCGCGGCCGCGGTGTCTACAACGGTCACGGGCAACGCCGTGGTGGACTGCTCTATCGTCTTGGACATGTTGGCGAGAAGAGTAGAGAGGTCTCCCGTCTAGCTAGGATGAAGCAGGGCGTTCTGTGTGTGATCGAAACGGGTATCTTGTATTGTCTAGATACGCGCGCGTCCTGTCGTCGAACGTTACGGCGGGTTTGAATATGTGTCGTACGCGCGCGACACAGCGTTGGCCGGTGGACGTCGTACGAGCGGGGGCGGGTGAAACGTCGTGGTCGCGGGGAGACGTACGTGTGCGAATGACTCGAGGCTCGGACGGGAATATCTGGGGGTATTTAGGGACCCGCCGGGGACGCAGGGAGCCGATCTGCACCGATGGGTGAGAGAAAAGGGCAGCGCTGAGCGCGGGGGTCGGCACGGGCTCTGTTGAGGCTCGGGTCAGGGAAGAGAGGGAAAGGGGCGGGTTACGGAAAGCCTCTCGAGAGGGGCAGCGGGGTTAGGCCGTCAGGTGATGGTACGGAAACATGGGCATTGGGCAGGGCAGTTGCTTCGATCGGGTATGGTCTGGGGCCCCGTCCCCGTTACGTCTTGCAGGGCCCCACGGGGCGCCGCAGACACACCAGGAAATGCCCATGTCCGCGAATCCTGCGCGAATCTGCGAGCGTGAAATGTTTTGCATCGCAGACATGATTTCCGTCGGACGTGTGGCGGAACTTGGGTCGGTCGTGGAGCCTATGGGAGGGGAGGATCTGTTGGCCTGGAGGATTCCGTGCAGTGGGAGAGAAACCGGACCAAGTCGGCAGGCCGAGAGCCGAAAGAAGGATGGAGAGAGGGATGCAGGTCGCAAGACCAGCCGTATGACGATCGTGGACTGAATGGCAGAACAGTCACCTGCGCCTTAAGGTTCCCCCGCAGCCTCGGCATTCCCGTGGGAATCTTCCTGACGCGCCCACGTGACCGAGGTCCTGCGTAGTGCGCGCAATATAGGCCTGAATAGGACCAAGGCGACGCGACGTAAAGCTACATACGTGTAGGGAGTGTATAGTGGGGCTGAGGTCATCAGTGATTTTCATGAGATGTTCAATGTCAAGGGAATCGCGCCAAGTTTGGTCGGAATGCGCGCACCTGGCCCTGCCCCCAGCTTATTCAGCGTCACTGCGTATAGGGCTTTCGGACCTCCATGTTCTGTAGCCGGACCGTCAATTCTTGACCAGTACTTCTTCAACTTGTGGCGTCGCGGGAACGCCGGCCAAACTACGAGTGCATACCCAGTAGCGCCCCCGAAACCTTACCTCGGTGCCTGGTCGCGTCTCGCTCAGCAACTCGTTTCGTGCATGTTCCATCCTTAATCCATCTGCCAGAGCATTTCATACATGAGTCTCATATATAGGTTGACACACACAAGCGTACGTGGGGGTACAAAACAAACCGTACTGACAGGAAGCACATGTTCAACAGCGATACAACAATGTTGGCGACGACGATAGTCAAGACGGAACCTAGGGCAAATATCGCATGATCCCTATGGAAAAAGCAGCAATTAGCACGCCGATCCAGAAGTTCGTCCCTGCACGTTGCGCGTTGTTGGACGCCGAGCGCGAACCTTGCGTGATCCGAGGCAGGTCCTTCGCCGTCATCGTACGGGCAAAACCTACGGCCGTCGCAGCATACGGCGCCGACTCAGAGGTCGCTGCGAAGATGCGCACGTCTCGTCAGCTACCTATAACGCGATATGAGTCGAAATAGAAAACACGGACAGAGAAAGATGCCGCCGTTGTGAATGGCAGCGTCTACGGCTTTTTCGAGGACGTTGCCCGCGTCGGACGGGACCATGGACATGAAACCGACGCGCGCAGGATCTTGGGAGGGACGCGTCATGTTTCCGTAGTAAAACGCAACCATATTCCTGCATAGGTATTAGTGGGGTGAGGACATATCGAACGACTTGCGAAGCTCACGACTTGAGGAACGGATCGCCTAGACTCCAGCTGTAGAGGAACCCTCCATTACCTGGGGGATCTGTCACTGCAAGCGCGGGCGTGCATCGAGCAACTTCGCTAGGATAAACTGTACCGGGAGTTATGGACGTAGGGTGAGCAAAGTCGCGCGGGTCGACGGGGAATAGCCCGCCCCCGATTTGAAACGTTAGATTGTGGGGGATTGAGCAGTCGAACGTGCCAGACGCATCGAGGCCAAGCCGAGAGTAAACCCACGACATTACATCCTGGGGACCGCGTATGAGTGAATTTCCCTGCATGTAATTCGAAGATGAGGTGGTTTACTGGAGACATAGCGACAGAGACGTGAACTCACTGTATCCACTAAGGCCGATAGAGAGATGGACGGCGATGAGAGCGCAGAACGCGGTAGCTTGTCACCATCGAGGTACACATCACCGATAGGAATTTCCCAAACGAATGGGTATACCTGCAACTTGCTCAACTATGTGCCAAACCAACTGACGCATACACACTAACTTCGTTTGGTGCATCAGGGGGCGCAGGAAGACCACCCTCGGCGACAGAGTAAGAACGCACCGGAACCCAGGTCAATTGATCGTCTGTCAGACCATAAGGTAAAGTGCCCAGAGAAAGCGTCCCATCATTACCACTGAGAGAGATCGTGTCGCGTTGCAGAGTCGTAACTACGAGCGGTCGCTGGAGAACCTTCCAAGTCACTAGTCTCGTGAGCAGAGGGCCCAGCGAAGCGAACGTGTCCACAACTGAGGTTGGCGCCATCGCGTTAGTTTGTCGCTTTAGATGAGTACTATTCGAGCCGGATGAAGGCGAAGACGGGCTCAGGTTATTAGCTACACGGTCGGCGCGCTTGGGCGTAGACAGCATAGGCTGAGAAAGCTGGGAGGCCGAGAGTTGTCGCCAGATGAGACTGATGGGAGGGAAACCGAGACCCAAGATGCCCGCAGAGCCAGTGTCCAGAACAGTCGTATTCGTGTCCACTATGGCGGCGAAATACTGGTCCGGTACCGATAGTCCCGCTATAGAAACGGTGTCCGTACCAATAGGACCAGTCGCTCGAGTACCAGTGCGCGAGTCGCCGTAGAGCAGCTGGACGTCTTGGCCGGCATGGGTGAGCGCCGCCTCAGAATAAAGCGGGACGTTGGCACCAGAACGAAGACCTTTATATCCGTCGGACATAAGCCAGAGGTCGGAGGAGCCAGTGTCTGAATGTAGGCCGGAGATTATCGGGAGTCAAGTGTACGACAGGCAAACAGAGCATAGCATATACACACCGAGAATGAGGGGGGTCAATGTATCCCCTACCTTAACCAGGACGCTGTAAGTTCTGCCAGTCCTGATGGGTTGGAAACGAAGCTACGAACGCAATGACCTAAAGACTCACACATCCTGGTTGTCACCTACACCCACTACCGCGGAAGACTTCCCGCTTCTTTTCCATTTGCTCTGGCCTCCTCGACGGATTGGTAGATGAATGCCTTCCTTGCCGCTGCCTGGTGATGTATGCTCGTTCGACACGGCCTGCACGAGTACTGCCGCCAGCAGCAACGTGCTTGTAATAACGTTGCGCATTGCGCTGCCGAGATAGACGTCTAGCAGCGCAAGGAGCGCACAGTGGTGCCAGAAGAGATGGATGCGGAGCAGAGGAATCTCAGGAGGTGGTGGTGGTGGTTCGCAGCAAAGGGTGTATTCACGACCCTTGAGTCCAAGGACCGCGCTTAAGCTTTGTCGAGCCGCCCTAACGCCGCCTAACAAATATTCCAAGGCCTGCCATTTTGTCTATACGTTTGATACACGGACTGACTTGACAACAGTACTTGCACTAGTGCAGCGGCGTCACTGGTGGCACCCAAATGTTGAAACCAGCAGCAGGCCTGAGCAATCCGGATATTCTCAATTTGTCACTATGGTAAACTATAAGTATTAGCTAATGTATGCCCCATGGCTGAGTTGGTTACAGCGTCCGACTGTTACTTGCCAGAGTGACCTATCGGAAGGTCGTGAGTTCGAGCCTCACTGGGGCAGTATTTTTTGACAACCATACATTGCAATGTACGATCCCCGGTTTCTTGGGCCTTCCGATTTATTGGAAGGCCGATACGTTCACTTGGGACGTTGGCGATGAATTTACGGATGCGTAAGACTTCAAATTTTTAAAGCTTCGATAGTCACTAGTCATTCCGCGTGCACTTTACCGTCGAGTGCTTTCAATCTTTGACGGCTACGTCATAGATGCTACTATATTATGGACAATAAGTCAAGTTAACGATGTTCTACTTCTAAGATCCAGAGGGAGCCACCATCCGCGTGAAGGGAAGAGAAAGGAGCGAAGCGAAGCGACACATAACGCGTGGTGTTCGAGCCGGGACGACGTCGAAGGAGTGAATGCGAACGAGCGAAAGCAGCGAGCGATACAAGCAAGAATAAATAAAGCGAACAGCAAAGTGTCCAGCGACCGCGGCCCAAACCGTACATATAATCCACGTTAGAACACACGTAATGTCACACACAGCTAGGCGCAGGCCGGCGCGCCGCCCTATATCGCGTGTGGCCCCGAGTACGAGTAGGTGCTACTTCGCCACGACTCCTCCTGCTGGTGCTGTCCTGGAGTGAGCTCACCAGCGTCGTACCCTTCGTACGCCGTTGCATACGAGTCCTCGGTTGCCATCGGTGTGTGCACCGGCTCTTGAGGATGGGGGGAGTAGCCAGTCCATTGCTGATCGGTGGGGGTGCGGACCCGCATCTCATATTGCTCCGCCGGGGTTGTAGGCGTGATAGATCTGGGGGACCGTGCACCGGGGACTTGAAGCGTGGCGGAGGTGGGCGCGGAATGTGTTGGTGATGACGGCATGTAGGTGACGGAGTTGTGAGAGACGGCAGACATGGGGGGTTCAGTTTGGTATGCGGTCGTTGTACCGGAGTCGCGGGTATACGCATGGTATCGGTTGGGTTCCGGGAGAGGCGATGGTGCAGGAATTCCGGACACAGAGTAGTACGATAGCCTCTGTAAAGAAGGGCTAGTCGATAGCTTGGCCCGCACAGAGGGCGTCGGCGACCCTCTAGGGTCATACACACCCTCCTCTAACCTGTCGGGTCTGGGAGAGTGACGTGGGGACTCCCCAGCCATGAGGGGGGCGCTAGGGCGGGGCGAACCATCAGTAATAGGTGTGCGGGGTATGGGTGGAGTGGAGTAGTCCTCTTCGTGCTGGCTAATCTCCGACTCTGACCGACAATGAGGTTGGTGGAACATAGGCGTTTGCTCGAGCTTACCCTTCTTGCGCTCGCGCCTATGTTTGATGCCGAGACGATCCTTGAGATCCCCAAGCACCCACATTTCTCGTACAATGTCCTTGTCGAGTGGTCTGTACGTTGACGTGAAGAACTTCACCACAAAGCGTGGGCCTGTAGAACATGTGAGGGCTCAATCACGAGCATAGAATATGGCTTATACTACGCACCAAGAGCTATCACAACCGAGAACAGGACGCTTGCCCAGAAAGTCACCTCACCGAACAAGATGACCACCTCGTCGTTGAAATCGATGCTGTCGAAGGCGGAGTATATCGCGATCCACACGAGCATGACAACCGACGAGCCAATGACAATCACCCAGGTGATGACGGTCCAGCTGAAGGAGATGCGAGTTCTACATATGAATTTGATGAATGACCGGGCACACTCACTAATGGGTGTTGATGCCAACGTAGGTGTTCGCAGCGATAATGGCAGCCACCGATACCGTCGTGCCGAAGTCAGCAAGAGATTCGATAGTCTTTCCGTTCCACGAGACGGCGATGTCCAGCGTCCAAACTAGGTACGGGATGAAGAAGACCACTGCAGACTGGTACAGACCGTCCAGCATGTACAACCAGAATTTCAGTCTGGTGTACTCGAGACCTCGGATACCTCGGATGTAGAGCTGAGGGAATGCGAGGGCGGCCTTGGCGTTGATGTCCTGGTCGAAAGCTATGAAACCATGTGAGTTAAATGTTACGAGTAAGTACGCGAGTGCCCTCACCTCCGAGCGCGATGACGGGTAGTGAAGTGAAGATCAGGTTGTACAACAGGATGAAGGTGTACTGGTACAGGTAAGTCGCGTCGAAGCTGTTGAAGATCATGAACCAGAACATGGCGAAGGTCCAGATGACGTTCTATCGTCGCATGTCAGTTTGATACCCGTGTCTCGACGGTCAGGTACTATACCTTGTAGAAAAAGTTGGCGTGCATGTCCGCCACACGTTGATACGACCATCGACCGTGGACAAGGAGGAGTTTCGTCAGGAACCGGAACTGTCCGAAGGCGTAGTCCGCTGACATGGCAGCCTGCGAACCCTCGTGTCCGAGGAGACCACAACCAATATTCGCCTCCTGAATCATGGCCACGTCGTTTGCACCGTCGCCAATGGAGAGTGTCATGGCGTTGCGACCCTCCTTCACCTATGGTGCACTGCGTAAGCTCAAGTCTAGTGTGAGGGGAACAATGCAGGCGACATACCAGGTTGACGACCATTGCCTTCTGCGCAGGGGATACACGACAACAAACAACCGTCTCGCATTGCGTGGACAGAGTCAGGAACAGTTGCTTCAGGTCCGGATTGAGAGCATGCCGTAGAGTGTCGCCGTCGATGACCACGGCAAACGCGGCTTGGGCGCCCGGAACGAATCCGCGCTGTTTCTGGTTCACAGAAGGCGGACCCAATATCGATGCGATCTTGTTCAGACCGCCTTCAATCTGCAGCCGCGCTGCCTCGTGCGAGTCCGCCGACAAGATCATGATCTCCATGTCGCTCTTGAGCAGGTTGCAGCTGAAACCTACGACGCGTTGAGGTGATACTCAGCCACCGGACCGAGCGTGCAGGCAGAACTCACGTACCAATCTCGATGGCCGTCTGGACCTTGTCACCTAGCCGACGCCGTGAGTTATTACGACATGGAGGCAGCGACGATCTGCACACCTGTCAGAATCCAAAGCTTGATCCCCGCCTTATGAAGGGTCTCGATGGCCTCGGGTACGCCCTCCTGCAACTTGTCCTCCAACGCGGTCGCACCCAGAATCTGTAGTGAGTGCTCAACCAGTTCGTTGGCCTTGTCGATCTCCTCGTCCCGATCGTTGATAGAATTCGTCGCAGCCTCGTACCTATGCACCCAATCCATGTACTCTTGCTCCGTAAGATACCGATACGCGATACAAAGCGTACGCAGACCGCCGTTTGCGAAGGCCTCCATGTCGCGTGCCGTGGCGGCCTTCAGCTCGGAGTCGTGGTCTGGGGCAAGGCGCTCGTAAATGACGCTGTCTGCCCCTTTGCAGTAAAGTACGATCTGGCCCTGAGGGTTGCGCACGATGACGCTCATACGCTTCCGCGTGCTGTTGAACTCGAGGAGCTGAAGCGGAATGTAGCGTTCAGGCTGACCCATCACCTCGACGTTGACCGAGTCCTTTGACCGCTGGACGAAGGGGAACCCGACGTCGCGGGCCGCTGCGACTAGAGCGGCTTCATCGGGGGACTCCGCCTTGTACTCCAGGTGGTACGGCTGCTTATCGGCGTCTGGACGATCGGAGAGGACGCTGTGGCAGATAGCGAGAGCACGGAAGAAGTCAATCAGATGCTGCCGTTGAGGAGAGCTGCGGTCCGCAAGGTCGTCTGCGAGCCTGGGGGAGATGAGCGTGAGATGGTCGGGCTGCGCATAGCGGTTCTTAAAGGTGTGCGCCATCTTGTCGAGCATGCGTTGCTTGAGCATGTGAAGCTGAACGTCCTGTTCCTCAGGGTCGAGTGCGTCGGTTCTACCCTCTCGCTTAGCCGCGCCTCGCTGCGCTTCCGTGACGCCTTCGCCATAAGCGATGCCGTTGACAGAACACTTCTGGAACTCCATGACATTCTGCGTGAGTGTGCCCGTCTTGTCAGAGAAGATGTATTCGATCTGCCCGAGGTCGTCCGAGATGTTCCAAGTTTTCGGCGCGCAAGCTGCATCGAAAGGCTGATAGTACATATCGATGTCCTGTGAGATGAAGAAGGCCTGAATCGTCTTCACGATCTCGATAGAGATGTACAACGAGACCGGAACGATATTCTGGAACGCGATGAGACAAGACCTGAAGTACCGGTCAGTAGAGAGGAATTAAGTCCAGAGCCGCAGCGAAGAACATACACAAAAGTGATGACCCCGTTCAGGACGAAGGAACTTGTTGGATCCACGTCCTGCTCGTATTCCTTGGCACTCGTGTTCGACTTCGCGTCCATATAGCCGCTAAGAATACCAGAGACGACACACATGAGGATTAGGATAACGAAGTTAACGACGACATTGAAGTTCGTCTCGATCTCGATCTTGGACCGCTTCGAGGGTGTGTCCCCGCCGTTCATCATGATCTTCGAATCCGCGCCGGTGAAGACGACCAGCCCAATGACCCACGTCGTGTTCCGCAGCGTACAGCCTCGTAGGAGCAACTCGTTGATCGTCACGGACTCCTGCTTGTCCTGTCCGCTCGCGGCGTCCTTGTACCGTAGAATGCCGTTATACAGATAGAGGTTCGCGTGCGGCGGTTCCGAATCCAAGACAAAAGAGACACGTTCGACATCTTCTTCAGAAGTGATTGAGGACGTCGCCTTGACAGACTTGCGTGGCTTCAGGTTCGTCTCGCCATCGAGGTTCTTGGTCTCGAGGTAACACATATCATCCGGGTCCGACGTTGACAGAACGACAATGTCCGCTGGGACCTGCTCGTTCTCACGAAGAAGCACGATATCACCAACCTCGAGTTTCTTCCACAGAGTGCGTTCCCAGCGAGCTAAACCCGACACCCGTTTGCTGTAGTCGACAACGCCTATCGACGAGCGTCCATGTATCGACTGCTGATACGCATTTAATGAGCCTGATCCACCGCCCCACGAGGGCACGGGAGGCTTGATCTCTGTCGGCGGGTAACTGTGCGAGTCGACGCTTTGGATGTCGTCCAGTTTCCGACCCGCGCCGTAGAAATTCATCTCGGAGCTGCTATCGTTGACTTGCAGCGTACTTACGCTGGC